CTATTACTCTCTCCCAACCCAGGTTCAGGTTTTGTAAGCTAATTTAACGATTAGTGAACAAACTTGTAACAATATATATAAGTAAAACTTTATATTCTAGAAATATTAATATTTAATATAATTTTTTTCTATTTTTTTAATAATAATGTAATAATTTATTTATTAAAATTGTCAAAAAAGATTAATTTTTTTACTTTTTTAAATATTTTAAAAGATAATTAGTATTTTATGCTGATTTTTTGAAATTAGCTAGATATAAATTGGAAAAACAATTTTTTAGTGAACAAAAACTAATTTAATAATGTAGTTTTCGAATTATTGAGCTTTGTTTAGTGACAATCCCTAACCGAACTATTTGTAAAAAATCTTTAATATCAAAAACTTTATTAAGAAACTGGTTTTAGAATATTATGAAAAAGTGTTTAGCTGATCGATTTACAAATATCATAAAAATTTCAGAGAAGTAAACATTTTCTGTGATTGTTAATGTTAATTAAACGTTAATTAACCATTACTTTCCAGGGGGGACTGTAATTATATTTATAATTTTATAAAAGTAAATATATATAATAAAATAATTGAATATTATTATTAAAAGAGAAATAATACATATAAATACAAATTTAGCTTTAATAATGAATATGAATTTTGAATTTAGATTAAATCAATTCAAATTATTTAATAATAATAATTGAATATTAATAAAAGAAAAATTATTATATAATAATAATATATTATTTTATTAATTTAGTTTGGATTAGAATATGTATTATATATAGTGGAGGACAGCAAAAGATATCTAATTTTAATATAGCTTTTTGATAAAGCTGTAATTCTGTAAGAAAATTTATTTTATTTAAAAAGTTATAATAATTTAAAGATTTCTATTAATAAAAATAAAGAATTCTGATTGGTTAAATTGATTATTATATATAAGATTTATAATTAAAATTGGCATTTTTGGTGCAGTATTGGATGTTTTTTGCTGTTCTGCACTATATAAATTTGATTTTTATCAAGTTTAGTTGTTGAAACTAAGTTTTACACACTATATAACCGGGACGATGTGACTTCAATTCGGCATATATCAGTGTCATATATATTATGCTACTTTTCGAGCATTTAATTAAATTCACTTCATTCATTGGTTAACTTATAATAAAGTTAATTCAGTTACAAATAAGTATAACGATAAATTTCGGATATCTTATAAACCAAGTAACTGAACGTCGCCATAATTCGGTTGTTTCTACTATTTAATACTAAATATTCGTTTATTAGAAAATCTAAATTTTCTTGAAGATATTTTTTTATCTTTTGAATTTGTGAACGGATTTTTGGATAAAAATAAATTAATAAAATGCACATCTAATCTTGCATAATCTATATAACATGCACATCTAATCTTGCATAATCTCTATAGCATTCACACGTTCAGAAATATGTCCTGAAAGATTCCCTAATGTTAATAATAAATCGAGAAAATCGTCGTTTTCCAATGTCATCCAATACGTTCTGTTGTTATTTTCTATGTCGTTTCGTCAGTTAGCAAGCGGTGCTCGCAGGAATTTAGAAATAGCTGTGCTTTTCTATTTCTTTAAGTTCGTGCATTTGGTTTTATCAGGAAAATTCATATTTTTTGATTTACCAAATGTACTTTAAGTGACTTTTTGTCACTTTGAGGTCATTTGAGGTCACTGTCCAAATCAATGAATGTTTCGCATAGATCTAGATTAAAATAAATTCATCTTGCACTACACATATTTTCTTAAATGTATACGTATGCCCAAGGGGAGACTCTTTTATTAATGCACGGATGCGTAACAATGTAAAGTACGTACATGTAATCCCATAGCGATATGTAACAAAAAACAAGGTAACCAGCAAAATGTGAATAATCATGAGATTACTTTTATTCGATGAGGCATAAAATAATGCGGATAGATGTTTTTTTCTAATAATGAAACCCCCCTTGCAGGATGCATATCACTATTGAAGAACATGAATATCTTTGAACGATACGTATTTTCATCCAAAACAAGAATATCTTTGAACGATACGTATTTTCATCCAAAACGAGAATATTACTTACATAACGTCCATTGAACTACATAATCGAATGCTATTGATCAACAAGTACTTCACCCAAAAACAAGAATATTAAGACTTTTATTTGCATATCGTCCGTTGAACTACAGAATCGAATGCTATTGATCAACAAGTACTCGTTTCTTGGAACCCTTTGAATTATTATATAAATTGATTGTCTTTTCCTCCTGTTCAAAAGCATCTCTTGACAAGAGTTCTGAAAAACACTAATAATACTTAATAATAATCTTTCTAATATCTAACGAAAAATAAATTATAATGATATCGAAATTTCAAACTCTTTTCTTCATTATTGCTACTTTGTTCTTTGTTCTCGCTTGGGCAGACATTCCTCCTAATCCACCTACTCCCGGAGGTCAAATAGAAGTGACAGCACCAAAGGGAGATTTTAAGTTTGACTCATATCTAGGCGTTAGTTGGAATGCTAATGTTGATATTAAGGACAAATGGAGTAAGTTCTATATATTAGATCATTATTTATACTTTTCTGTTCTTTTTTTCTCAACTTCGATTTATATGAACGAAAAGATCGAAAAGTCAATGTTTGGATTGCGAGAAGGCTTGGTAATGCGCCAGACCAATTGAAATACATATTTCTTGGTGTATATGTAAGTATACATTACATTTTTGATCTCTTACATATTATCTATCTTAATATATTATACAAATTGACTAAATTTATACTATTTGCAAAAAATAGAATTACGGAAACACCTGGGCTGGTTTCCATGCCAAAGTCAATCAAGGTTATTATTTTGCTTGGGTAGAAGTTGTCGATGAGCCGGCAGTTTGGGGTACTGGACCAGTGTTCTATATTTCCTATTAAAAATCATGTAATTTGAATCTGTAAATTGTTAATTTTTAATGTTAAAAGAAAATTCTAGATTGTTTTATAAGTAAACTGTTTGATCAGCAGCTTTATGACATTATATACACATTTTGAAAATATAAGGTTTCTTTAAACGGGAAATTTAGATTTATATACATGTACTTCAGCATGGGTCATAAGTAATCGACTCCCTCTAACTCGCCGTAAATGCAATGTAATGCTCTGAAAGATTCACAACACAAAGGTTAACACAAATCCTGATTCACAATGTCTATATGTTTTTATATATCCTTGTAGCATTTTTGTATCGGATTTTACAATTGTTATAACTTATTTCTTCACAAGTAATACGAATGTTACTTTAAGATGCAATATCACAATATCAAGCGTTTCGACTAGGCGAATCTAATGGTAGTATTTTTGCATGAATCAAATCACTGAATGGTGTGATATCGCGTACCAAAGTGACCGATTCGTTTTTTTGGCATTCGAAATCAATTTTTCATACACGCACACGAATAATTGATGGGCGATCACCCTTACGGTTGACAATACTGTACATGTACATGTTGCCGACAGTTGTTCATGTTGATTAAAAATGCAATCACCTTTCCAATGAACTTGCTATAAAATTGATCAACAGCATGAAAGTCGTGTTTTGACACTAATAGCGATCAATGGAGACTATATTATAGAATTTATCATGTAGTCAAATAATTTACAGTGAGTCGATTACTTATGATCCCTACTGTATTAAAGAATTAAAATTCATCACGTCGCATCTTCTACTTTAATATAAAATCCTTTATATTCAGTATCAGGATACATAATGATTTTTAAAAAATGTGCTTATAGAGAAGGTGTCATTAGATAGTTCCAAGGTATGATTATAGAGTGGTATGATTGTATATATCTATCTTATTTCCTATTGTGACGTTTGAACTCGTAAAATGTATATAAGTAAGGTCATTGTCGTTTTATCCTTTCTCCCCAAATCATTTTAACGCATATTGAGCGAGACTGTATCAATAAAAACAATCTGTCGTATTTTTCATTAAATATACGAGATTAAAGGTTTAACTACATGTATTTTGGTCTGTGCACTTAATCGCCATGTGCACCACAGTATGGAGCAGTGGTATGAAAATATATGCTATATACGGCTATAATCAAAGTTTTATCAATCGCTCCAGTGACTCGGCTTACTTCTTGAGCCTTTCTAGTGATGAGAAAATCACAATGCGCTTCTGAAATTTAAGGAGTAGAGCACTAAGTGCTGACATTAAAAATTTTAACATATACAAGAATTCTCGAACCACCTATGAACGATTTTACAATGTATTTATATATCGTCAAATGATAATTAGGGTGACATTTCCCGATATATCGGTATAAAGAGCTCTGACTGTAATCAATCGACGAAAGCAATAAGTACTTGATTACAAGAATAAAAACAATCGTTAATATTTTATGAAATTACAAATCTTTCTAAATTAAGCTCATCGCCTTGAATAACCCAGAATTTTTGAAAAAATTTATTATTGCCATTTTAAGAAAATTAAGCAATCTACGTGCATGATTTTTTTTAATTATTGCTGAATGATTTTTCCCAAAAGTTCTATTAATAAAAATTTTTCTGCTAAATTCAAAATTACACATACAAAAAACAATTGGACCCTTATTAAAATTAAATAGAATTCTTGAGACCTTTGGAATGTAAAAAAACCGAAAATTGATGCAATAATTCTTGAGGAATGTTTATTTTATAAATTATAATTTTTGGTGAAATTGAAAATTTTTTTAAAAGTAAAAATTTACTACTAGCCAGCTTGTGCAGAGCTTTAAATATAATATAATAATTATAATAATTATAATTTTTATAATAAATATATAATTTTTTATATACAATATAATATTTATAATTAGTAAGTCAATAACAATGAAAAACTCATATAGATGTTCTAGGTTTTTAAATTCAAAATATTCTGAAATATGTAATATAAATCTTCAAGTTTTTTCAATCACTCTTTAGAAAATTATACCTAAAAACATTAAAATATTATATTTCAACAATTTTTAATAATAGATTTTATATTTTATAAAATAATGGCGAGGGAATTAATGAAAAAATATGCTTTATTGAATAAATGCTGCATATTCTGAAGTATGTTATACTAAAATTTCAAGTTTTTAATTATAATTAATAAAGTTATAGTGAAAATACTTTTGCACAAAAAAAAGTATTTTGAAATATAATATTTTAATACATTTCGCCATACCTTTTTGAAGCGCGATTATAAAAATTTGAAATTTTAGTATAACATATAGAGCATTTCAAATTTATGTATTTAGAACATCAATGCCAGTTTTTCTACACGATTTCTTTCAGTTATAGCAGCTTCCTGTCTATCCATGGTCTGATTGTGGCTAGTTGTGGCGTGTTATAACAACTAGCCAATCATATAAGACATGATAACTAGCCTGGTGCATAAAATCTAAAGTTATCGTTATCAAACGTTTTGTATTTAATAAAATGGATAAACTTCTTTACTAAGAAGTAAATACAAAATTTAATCCACGAATATGATAGAATAAGCCTTTTCTGAGCATATTCACGGATCAAATTTTGTATTTACTTCTTGCAAAGAAGTTTATAAAATACAAACGTTTGATGACTTTAGATTTTATGCACCATGTATCGGTATATCAAGAACTTATGATAAAAATTGTTATAACGAAGGAAATTTTATTAGAAGTATTTGAGAGTTGTCGAGATTTTTAATTAGTTATAACGGAGTATCGTTTATATCGAGCTCTCCATTTTTTCAAACTTCAATATATATTAATGAGAAATTAGAGATAAAACATAATAATACAGCAATCAATAGAATTGTAATATAATATAATACAAATTAAAAATCTCCTTAGACACACGACAACACCCAACCATGCCAAACGAGCATCATTGAATGAACAAAGATATCATAGGAAGTTCCGATAGTTTGGCGCCAATGATATTCGCAAGCTTTTTTGGCCTATATTTTGTTGATTGTGTATTTTTATGCAAAAGATAATGGAGAAACGACATAATTTCTTTTAATATATTTCGAATAATTGACCGAGTTGAATGGATGAATAAATATAAAGTTCGATTAAATTGATGAATTGGTTACCTCCCAGCTGTCAGCCGCCGACCAAATCAATACCTTCTCCACATACGGTGCACCAAGAAAGACTGACTTTGCAAATACGACACTCTCTCCTCCATCTTGTTGTTGATTCGAAGTTTTCTCCTTTGCCTCCTTAACTTTCTGTTTAATCTGATTCAACCATGCACGTCTTCCTTTAAACCATCCACTAATATAAAACAAATGAAGTAGAAAGTGACCCAACGCAAACACCCTAGTCACATAAAACATGATTTCAACCGTTCGATTTTTGACTTTTGCGTCCTCGTAACGATGATTTTCAAGGTAAAGATGAATCGCTGCAAAAGACATGACGACCGTCATCAAATCCATGACAAAGTAGTACCAACGCGACCAGAGTTCCGGCGCAGTGTATCTGCCACCTATCCAGTCAAGACTCAGGAGCACTTTGATGTGCGCGAGAGCATGGGACAGTTCGGCGATGAGGAGTGTGGTGAAGATTGTGCGGATATGGTCGGGAGTCCAGTTTGTTAAAGAGGTTGGGACGTAGTGGAAAAATAAAGTGAACATTATTGTCAAGTAGTATGTGTGTGTATTTAATTGTGGAAGAGAAGAATGGAATAAAGATAAAGAACATTCTTATATTGCGAATTTTGGTTAATTATAATAAACTTGATTACGCATGTTTCTTAAAAGTAACAGAAATCGAAATAAAATAGACGCGTACATGATCGAATGTTTGATTTAGAATATGACTGTTCTTAAAAGAATATGGTGCATAAAATCTAAAGCCATCAAACGTTTGTATTTAATAAAATGGATAAACTTCTTTACTAAGAAGTAAATACAAAATTTAATCCGTGAATATGCTCAGAAAAGGTCTATTCTATCATATTC